GTTGATCAAAGACTCAAAGACCTTGCTAATAACAGAAAGAAGACTGATCGGACGATTATTGGAGGGGTCAGAATTTTCTCCAGAGTTTTTGAATATTGGAACCACAGATGCCATTTTCCAACAAGCAGGAAAACAAGACTCAGTCAAACACTTGTTAAATAGTTTAGAGAGAATTGAAGAAAGTTCTGGAGAACAATTCTGCAAGACTGTGACAGGAATGTTGTCTGGACCACAAGCTGTAGACGAGTTTAATTGAGATATGACTTTAGCAACAGAAGCCGGAGTGATTTGAATGTCTAACAATGGGTCAACATGTTTGACTGGAATGGAAGAAAGAGAATGTCCATAAGATTCAAGAGTGGAATTAGAAGAAAAGTTCTTTGCAAATAGTTCTGCCTTATCCTTGGCAGAGGTAATAAGATCAGTCCCTTACATTTGAAGACTGTTAAAAAAATGAAAGCATTTAACACAAGCTTTGATTCATGACGAAAGCACAAAGAAAATTCATTTTTATTAGGAAGGAATAAAAAAATTGCATACCTTCATTCAGCTAGTCTAGTAGGAAACAACAGCTTTTGAATAGACAAATACAGTAATACATCAATAAAAAAAACTTTTGAAATGAGTAGTTTCCTAGATTTATGAGTGTACACTCTTTCAAAGTAGCCCTGAAATGTAGCTCCTTATTATGTTTTTGTTGTACTGTCCTAGATAAAGCATTAAAAGTCCAATATATTGTCATAAAATTGCTCATCTAGCACTTTTTAGTAAGCTTTATGTACATCCATTTTAGTGTAACTCTTAAAAAGTATCTGACCTAACTTCACATAATTTTTAGCTTTCTGAGAACCAAGGAAGCCATGAACAACTGCAACAAAACTGTTCCAAACTGCTCTCTCAATTCATTTTAGGGGTTTGGCAAACTTGTCACATTTTAAAATCTTTTTGATCTTTGGTTTAACTAAGATAACAGCTCTAAACATGGTCAGCTTTAGAAAAATTTTTTTGAGATACTTAAAATGTGTTTCCTTGTCAAGAACATTGACAAACTACTTGATGAGGCCAAATTTCATGTGCAGCAAGGACATAAGCACTTACTGAGTTCTACCAACGGCTCCCACTTCACATTTCTTTCACCCACAAAACTTGGTCCATTGCAGCCAGTCCTGTCTGTGCAAATGTGCCTAAGTGGCATGGCTGTCCTTTTCTGTAAAATAAGAACCAATTTATAAAACTTGATAAAAACTGGTGCAAATGTAGCATATGGCTGCACCAAACTCTGTATACAAATTCAGCCGGATTGGTTAACTGGATAGGGATTTATGGAAGTTTTAATTTATATTTTGTTAGTTTTATGCTTCTTAGACCTCAAACCGAAACTGATTACTGTGATATTCAATCCCTATTTTCAAAATAATGGTTACATAAGTGTTCTACTATGTATTACCAACAATTTTGTCACAACTGTTTTGTTGCTACAGTTACCATTTTCATTTTATAGACCAAAATATTGATTAGCTATTTAAAGGGTGGCTTGAGTTGGCATATGCATTGCTTTAAAATATCAGCATTTTCTAAGGTATAAATTACTGTCAAAATGTAAGAAAATGTTAAAAAATGGTTCAAAAGCTTTTATAAAGATATCTACATAAATGAAAATATAAAAATTTAGATAACTAAAATAATTGACAAATAAAAAGTTTGGAGGGCTAGTCAGAGGAAAATCTTTTAAATGGGAGAATAGTTCTTAGAAAAGCAGAGGTTTACAATGAAAATCAAAAATTTGTGTGCTTGTTCTGTCTGAAAAAATTTATGTTGTGTGCTTGTTCTGTTTAAGACAGTTTACTGCTTTTCAAGCAGATCAAATATGCCAACTGTACAAGACAAAGATCAATAACAGTGATTCTTGGGTACCACAAGAACTCTGCAAATCATGTAGAACAATTTTGCAAAGGAAACAAGAGGGGGAAGAAGTTATATTCTCTCCTTTGTTTAACTTCAATTCAATACAAGTGAGGCCTGAAACAAAAGGCATGTTTTATTACCTAATCTGCCAAAATGGATGTTGAAATCTGCAAGAAAAACGTCCTCTTGAAGAGCAAACCACCATTGAGGAAAAACCAATGCTCTCAAATAACATTCAGGGAAAACCTTAAATCTTAAGCAGCAAATTAATTTTAAAATTATTTATAAAAAATTTTTATTTATGAATAATTTTTACATATATATTTAAAGAAAATTATTAAAAATAAGAGACAAGATAGGATTTGGGAAGTATATTTTCAACCTCTTGAAGAGCAAACCATTGAGGAAAAACCAATGCTCTCAAATAACATTCAGGGAAAACCTTAAATCTTAAGCAGCAAATTAATTTTAAAATTATTTATAAAAAATTTTTATTTATGAATAATTTTTACATATATATTTAAAGAAAATTATTAAAAATAAGAGACAAGATAGGATTTGGGAAGTATATTTTCAACAAGTTTCTAATCCTTTAAAAACAAATAATTTGAAAGTTTTTAACAAACTTTCTAAACAAAGTTTAATATTTAGATAAAATATGTTTGTTTTGGATTCAGGTTAAAGTAGTGCCCAGCCACTATCAACCGCTCCAAAATTGACCTCTTTAGCTCTTGTAAATGTACAATTAAATACGGGACTATTAAATAACAGATTAAAGGAACTGGTCAGAACTATAAACCAAACATCAAGCAGCAAGATGGCAGAGCCAAATTTTTATAAGAATTTCTTAGAACCAGGTCAACACTTGAGATATTTTTTCACCTGCAAGGACTTAAAAATTACCAATGGAAAAGGAGATTCTGTTACAGTTCATACAGTCTTGTGAATTATATTATTCAATCTCACAAAATTTTGTTGGATTATTTGTTAAGCTTGGAATTGATGGTGGTAAAGATTTTCTTAAGTTTTGTCTTAGCATTGTTGATACTGAGTTAGGGATGGATACCAGCTCATGGCCTCAGAAACAACCTCTCACTCAAAGCACTGGCAAAGAAATTTGATTTAAGAGATTTTTGTCACGGTATCAGAAGATTTGCCAGAAACTCACTCCAACATTGAACAAACCTGGTCATTGATTAATGCAAATGGAGTTAAACTAATTTTGGCTTGCGCTATGAAAGTTGCAAATATAATTTGTCATCTATCTATCCATTCAAGTATGCAAAAAAGATTTTATCAGTTGCAAAGGATCCCCTTGAGGCCCTATAGTGAAAAAACTGTTGAAACTGCCCATCAATAACATTGTTCATCAATAACACTTATAAGCATTGGTCAAAATATAAGCAAAACAAAAATCATCCAAAGTACAAAGAATTATAGTTATGCTGCATAACTGATCTAAATAGTAAGCACCTTTAAAGAGCTACCATAGTTCAATTTATTAAATTAGACAGCAGAAAATCATAGCTTACAGTTTATAATAAACATTTTAACCATTTTAATCCTTAATTGCTGTTAGTAATTATGAATTTTAAAATTGCACGTAAAAATATTGAAGAGTATTTGAACAAAAAAGTATATTAGGCTGTTTTGAATAAATTTTTATGGAGGTAATCAAAGAACATGTCTTACAATTTAATCAGATGCTATTTAATGGTAATACAACCCTTGGAATTAGGAAAAATGAGGTCAGCAACTGATTGCCAACCTCAAACTGTTAGAGGTCAGCATCAGGTTAGGAAAAAAACATTGACACAAAGACGTTTCCATAAAACATACAATCGAGGTTGGCAATTTTTTGCCAACATCAAACACTTTTAGGTTAGCAGTTAGGTCAGCATTGCCAAACCTAATTCCAAGGGCTACAGGTAATACAATGTAAAGAATAGGGTTTATATAATTATTTTTTCACTTTATTTTAAAATTCAATGTTTTTAAAGTTTTCAAGGGCCAATAATTATTATTTTAACAAAAACATTTTTTTTTTGCTGATAGTCCTTTTGCTAAGTTTTTCACTTTTGTAAGGACTTCTTTTTTTGCATTTTGACAGTAGCTTATACTTTAGGGAATGTTGAGATATTTACGGTATGCATAAGCAAACTCAATTCATAAGTCAACTTGCTTTAAATAGTAAATCAATATTTTGGTCTATAGAATGAAAATAGTGCATGTAGCAATAAAACAATTATAATGAAAATTGTTGATATTTCACAGTAGAACACTCATGTAACCTTTATTTTAAAAATAGTGATCTAGTTTCACAGTAATCGGTAATGTTTTGAGGTCTAAGTAGAAAAAACTAACAAAATAAAACTACCATAACTAACAAAATAAAACTAATAAACTAAAACTACCATAAATCCTTAACCAGTTAAACAACCCGGTTGAAATTTTATTCAGTTTTATATAGTTTGGTGCAGTCATATGCTACATATGCACAAACCTTTATCAAATTATATAAAGTGGTTCTTATTTTATAGGTGTTTTTATTGTTGCACTATAAAGTCAAAAATTTATTTAATATTAACACTCAAATTAAATTATTTTCTGTGGAAAAAATTAAAAGATTTCAAAAATTGCATCACATGGTATCTTAATGTGTTTGTTATTATCTCATATAAGAAGCATTCTTGGGTCAGTTAGGTTGGCATTATCAGGATCCATGCTAACCCTGTATAATAGATCATAACAAATTTTTACATTTATAATTAAATGTATAAAAATAAAATTATGAAAGAATGTTAATACCATCAATATAAGCTACCTAGCACTTCCCAGCAAACATGCTTTCAGCGGACCGCGATGTGCAAAGCCGCCGCCGGAAACCCGGTGCTGGCCCTTTGTGATTCCTAATGCGGCTTACCGCTGCCGGGTAGCTGATGCAGGACCGGCATGCTATTTTTTGTTGGCTTTCCGCCATCGGCTGAAGAGCGATAAAACACCTGGTTGCCAATGCGATTTTAAATTGGCATACCAGCTTTAGTAAGTTTATTACGATACGCTGTAGTTTTGCCAACACAATGCCCGAGTTGGCTCCCAGATAACGGTAAGATGTCGTAAAAACACCAAAAGTAAGCATTTCAAGCGCAATGAGACTTGATCGATTTTTATATTTTATATTGTAGTACATAGTCTATGTAAAACAGTAAGTAATAAATAAGTAGTATTAAAAAAAATCAAATTAGTCTTTTTATTTTTAAGTCTTACAATATAGGTTATACATATAAATTTATATTCAATCTACATCTATACTTTCTATTTTAAAATATAGCTAAAATTATTGCTTATAAATATTAAAAGTTACATGATTTTATACCTATATCTATATTAGAAATTATAAAGTAATATAAAGCATTATAATATAAAGTATACTATACTTTATATTATATAATATATTATATTTATATCTATGTTTATAATTTATATATATATCTATACTTATATATTATATCTATATCTATACTAAGTATAGATTACTATATATTATATCTATATCTATACTTAGTATAGATATAGATATAAAATATAGATATATACATATAGGTTCAATATATATTTATAAGACTCAAAATTAAAAATACTAGTTTGATTTTATTTTAAACATATATAACTTTAACAATATTGTTACAGTTATGTAACAATGTTATAACCATATTAGTATAACATTGTTCTTGTTATGTAAAAAGTTACATGGCTAGTCGTATAAATTTTAATATAACAAGAACAATGTTACACTAATATGAAGTTCAATAGTGAGCTTTTGGACAAAACAACAAAAAATAATAGCTGATGTTGAATATTGCCTAAAAGATTACCAATATCAAGTAATATTTCACATTCAACAAAAGAAGTACAATCATTGTATTTAAAGAGTATATCAGATTGAAAACTTTCAACTGAGAGTGTTATTCCTTCAGGTGCAAATAATATTGATTGTGAAGTGAACTCTGACAGTAATCTAACAATTTCTGATTCTGAATCTTACCCATTAGAGTCATCAGATTTTGAAACAATTGATAATGTTAACAATGATGAACTAAAAAATTATTTGATGCAGTGGGCAGTTAAGTTTGCTATAACCGATGAAGCATTAGCATCTTTGTTAAAATTTTTGGGTAAATTGTTTCCTGAATTGCCAAAGGATCCAAGCCTGTACCTGTTACCAATATAACTGGAGAACAGTATTGTCATTTTGGCATTAGACAAGGTATTTTAAGTAATATTTCAATTTTTTTAAAGAAAAAGGATTGTATATCAATTCAAGTCAACATTGATGATTTACCATTGTTTAAAAGCAGCAATAGACAATTTTGGCCGATATTAGGTTTAATAAAAAATGTGGATAAACAATATTCAACGCAATAAAACCCCATTTATAATCGGTCTTTTTTATAGTAGGTCTAAACCAAAAGACCGTAATGAATTTCTAAAAATGTTTGTTAAGGAAAGTATTGCTTTATTTGATTCTGGTATTAGTATTAATGGTAAAGTATATAAGTTTGCTATATCAGCTTTTATTTGTGGTACACCTTATAAATGGAAATAAAGGATATAAAGCCTATTAATAAATGTTATGCAATATTTCTTTTCAATGTTATTAATATATTCTTTAGTATATCATATACTGAAGAATATTTTTAAAAAAATTAATAAAAAAAATAGATATCAAATTAATGCCATTAAATATTGCATAACATTTATTAATAGGCTTTACCTTCTTTATTTCTGTTTATAAATGATCTAGCTGGTGTACCACAAAAAAAAAAGTCTGGCCTCCTTTACTTGCAACAGCTATTATCTACAAAAAACATAGAAAAAACATCAGTAATATATATTATATATTACTGATGTTTTTTCTATGTTTTTTGTAGGTAATAGTTGTGGCAAGTAAAGGAGGCTGTCTGGAGAATGTCCTTTGCGTTATTCACTAATAACTTCTGCTGTAAACTTAACTGGTCTGGTATTACCAGAAATGACAATGAAAATAACTTTGTAAAACAAAGTCTAAAAGACTTACACTTTACACTCTAATTTAATAATTACTTGTGTCTAATTTAGTAATTACTAATCTATTTGTTAATAAATAGCTGATAAATAAATAAAGTTTATTTATTAACTATATATAAATAAAAAGTTAATAAATAAATAAATAAAACTTTTTAATAAATAGCTTTAAAAAAAAATCTATATATTTCTGAATTTAAGTTAAAAAATATATTTTTTGTTTTCCTGCTAGATAGTTAAATAAAAGTCTTAAATTAATTTTTAGGAGCTGTAAAAAGAAATCCTGCAACAACTTTAGCAACTGAATCAGATTTTCAATATGAGGTTGTGCGTTTTTTGCGTGGTGCATCAGACCGCAATGGCGGACAAAAAGTTAAACTAGACCAAAAAAACAAACAAGCCAAGAAAAAAGTGATGCCTACATCAAGTTTTCCAATGCCATTAAATAAAGAGACATTTTTTAGTTCAGAAGATGAATAACATTGTTAAATAAAATAAGCATCTTTATTTACAAGTTTGTTATCTTTATTTTACAATATTTAATATATTTTTAAATATTTTAATTTTTAAACTCAATAGTGTAAAGTTTTTGTGCAATGAGTATTACTGTTTCCATGTTTTTCATATTCATTCCCTTTTACAGTAACCTTTTGTATATGAGATTGTAGATGAGAATTTGAATCGTGATATTGAATCTTACCAGAGAATAAAGTAAGATTAATTTTATTATTTTGATATTATTTTAATGTTATTTTTGAAAAAAAACCAAAATATAAGTTCTGGAGTCTGTCTACTGTTTGATTTGTTTGATTATATTAAATTTAGATATAATTATAAGCTTTAAAATATAAAGTTATTGATGGAAAGCTAAATTAACTTGGTATTTAACCGGTGAAGCAGATGAATAAAAATCTAACAAAATTTTTATTTTACAAGCCATTATTTTAAAGGATTGCTTTAAGAATACTGTTCAAACATGCTTGTAATTTTATGTTACATTTATGATTTAATATTATTTCTTTACAGGAAACCGTTTACCTCAACCAGAGTTATATTTCATAGAATTATGTTGACCATGATCCAAATATTGCCATGGGTATAAGATAGATGTTTGATTTGCAAACTGGATTTAAATCATATTTTCTTTAAACATATTTATTTGCTCTCTATATGCTTACAAATAATTTATTTAAAAAAATTATATACTTATTTACTAAACCGTTTTATTTCAATCAATTATTTGACTTTTTATATTTTTCAAGGAATTTTTATAGTATATTATATTGCGTTATGTTTTTTTTTTTTTTTTTTTTTTTTTGTATGGTGAAAACTATGTTCAATGTGCAAACTATATTTTAGTTTATCAAAATATATTTTTATTGATGTGTTCTGTCTCTGATTCTTTCTTTTTCAGATGTGCACTTATGTCTAAGGCTTATGCTTTGCAAAAGGTTTACCATTGTACTTAAGTTGCTGTGGTTTTACTTCCAACCTGGCATATAAGTATCTCTTTTTTAAATACTATTTTATTTGTTAAATTAAAATTAAAATTAAAGATACTTTTTTTAATGAAATAACAATTTTTTTTTATTGTTCATAAACCCCTCAAGCATATTTATAGGATTAGGTATACCAGGTAGGTTACTGTATATGAAGTTTTATTTTTTAAAAAAGGAACGCAATATGACTTTATTTTTATATAGCTTTTTTTTAAAGTTATTTCCATAGCTTTTCAATTTAAACAATGTTTTTGTTGTTTTTAATGTTTTAAATTATGCTTAAATAATAAAACTAAATTTATATTTATTCAATGTAGATGCACTTAGTATCTGAAGTTATTTGTCAATAACTGGTGATCAGACTATTTCAAACGAACACGTTTTTAAGGGCTTAGTTTCTTATCTTTGTTGTATTAGCTCTAAACTTGACTGTTTCAATATTTTCATTATATATAATTGCCTGTTTTTAGGTGAAAGTTAGAAGTCTGCAGACTGCAACGTAAATCAATTTTCAACACATGGTTTCCTGAATATATTTAGTTTTCGATTGAAATGAGAATAACCTGAACTTATAGATATGTTGAAAATTAACTATTTTATCTTTTAAACGTTCGCTAAACGCAAGTGAAGCAATAATCTATAGATGCAAATATACTTTATATTTTGCTTTAGTTTAAAAAAAAATTATTGTTACTTTTATATTCATGTTGTAATTGTAAATTGCAATTTTAAAATGATTTTTATTATAACTTCTGATTAGTCTTTTTGTTCACCGAGCTTAAGCCTTGTCACGTATGACCTAATGATTTACAGTTGGGGTAGTGTTTTTCGGTGGTAGGAGAATTTTAGTATAATAAATTCGTATTTTTTTTATATACCTATGTACTAAGTCAAAAGGTATTTGATGTGTCTTCCAGGCATTGGCAAGATTTGCATTTTTTTATGAGTAAAAATTTGAGCTGAAAGATATAAATATTTTTGCTAACGATAAGTGCGTTCTATTCAAACAAAAAAACAAAAATAATTATATTTATAGCAATGCATTCAAATCTTAGTCAAAACTTATTTTATATCCTATGCTATTCCGCTATGGCTTTATCATCGGTTAGCCGCTGATGGACCGTTGTTCGAACATTGTCAATTTGCCGCCATCAGTCCGCTGTCGAACCGTCTTCAGTTTTCCGCTAACGGACCAATGTAAATACGATGTGCAAGCCAACGGGGCAAAACAGCGGGCGGCTGCCTTCAGCACAGCATAAGTGCTGACAGCGGTCCGTTATCGATCCACTTGTTTGATGTTTGCTGGGTTTCTACTTTAAAAAAAAGTGGAAAGAACCAAAACAGTGTTGTCAATAAATGCATTCATAACCACCACATAATAATAAAAGTGCTTAGTAGCAAAAAAGTTAAATCTATTTTTAAAAGTTTTGCATAAGATTTCTTAAAAAATCTGTTAATGCTTTCTTAAACTTTTAAAAAAGAAATTTATAACCCTAAAATTTCCTAATTTCCAGCATCAAACATTTTCTTAAATATATATGTTTTTCAATAATGCGAATATCTAATATAATATAATAGATATGAAACACTAATAAAGAAAAAAACAATAAAGTTTAAAAGTTTAAATTTTTTTTTAATCTTATAAATCTTTAAATTTAGATGAATTTTGTTCAGATATGTGAACCTATATTTTATAAGTTAGTTCTTTTTTTTTTTGTTGCTCTAATCAAATTCACTAACAAGGCTGCAACCATGAGAAATCAGTTGCAAAGGATAAAAATTAATTACATAAAGTAGACTCACTAAATGTGTTGTCTCATCAATAATATTAACAGTATTCGAATAATTATATCAGTAAACTGAATTTTATTTAGGTTTTTTCACTGCAAACCCTAAAATATCACAAAGAAGAAGAAGCCCTAAGTTGTCATAAAACATTCAGAACTGTGAATATTCTTACTTAAAAACTAGAGTATATGATTGCAAAAAGAAACCCTTTTACAGGGATGAACCAAGATCTGTTTGCGTACCATTTAAGCAGTACGAGTACCCAAATAAAATGCCCAAAAATATTTATTATTTGTAATTTATCTTTTGCTTTTATATTAAAAATTAAAAATAAAGTTTTGGTTTCAAATGCAGTAGAAAATAACTAATTTTCTGTTTATTTTAGCTAGATAATAAAATGGATTAAAAAGTGCTCTTTAGATGTTAAACATAATTTTGGTCTTTGTTACCTCAAGAACATCACTTTTCCATATACACCATATGAAGAAAGCTAATGACCAGCATGCTAGACTTTATTGAAAACCTTTAATAGGTCAAGAGGTATAACCCTTTCCTAACTGCTTTTATCTAATGCACAATAGAAACTTTCAATTATAACAGTTAACATGTCTGCAGCAGGAAAAGATGATTGTAATTCTTATTGATTATCAGAGGAAGTTGTTAGGTTCAAGATGAGATATTAAAAATTTGTTAATTAAACACTTATAATAGAAAAAAGACTGATTGGATTGTAGTTAGAAGGGTCAAAATGTTCTTTAGAGTTTTTCAAAAATTAGAATCACAAATGCCATTTTCCAGCAGACAGTAAAAGAATAAGTTAAGCACTTGTTAAATAGATAAGAAAGGAATTATGAAAGTTTTGGAGAACACTTTTGTAAGACTGTTTAACTAGTATCAGATTGGGATCACAGGAAGATTGTGGTTATTAGATGCAAAAGATGAACTAAAGAAAAAGTTTTCAGTAAATGGTTTTGAAAACACCTGGATGTTAGATTAAAGATTAGACCCACCCACCCCCTTCCCTCTAAAATAAAAAAAATAAGTTTTTATAACTGCCTGAACTTAGGAGATTAGCTTTGAGTAAATAATATTTTGTTAATTAAGTTGTTGATTCTAATTTATATATGTATGTATGTATGTATGTATGTATGTATGTATGTATGTATGTATGTATGTATGTATGTATGTATGTATGTATGTATGTATGTATGTATGTATGTATGTATGTATGTATGTATAGAGCTAGTAAATTGGTTTAAAATTATGCTCAAATTTATCGGTAATTTTCAAATAATTTACAGGTAATTTGGTAAAATTTTATAGAAATTCTGAATAAATTATTAGTAGTATTTTTTTCTAACTAAAAAGAAAAATTCTACAAAATAGCTAACTTTTTTACACATTATAAAAAAACAGTTGAAATTGCAAAAAATTAAAAACTTTATAATGGAAAAGAATTTTGTTTTCTTACAATATTACAATATGCATTTCTTAAAAAAAATACAGCCTACTTGATTGATTTTTCTTAAATTTTTGTTTTTTAATAGAGAAAGAAAAATATTTACATACAATTAGGATTTGTTTATGTAGTTTATTTATAATTACATTCAGTTTATTTTGTGCTCGCGTCCCATGTGGTTACAGTTACAGGTGACATTTTATTTAATTTAAATAGTGCGTTAGTGAGTTTTTTTTAATGTATTTGGTTTTTTGCACCGGATGATAAAATTATTAAGTATCATAAAAAAAAATTGGAAATAAACACAAAACATAACTTTGAAAATAAAGCGAATATTCTATATTTTTATTGTGTTGAGTAAGTATTTCACAAAAAGTCTTTAAAATTATATTATAGAATATATTTGTATTGTGTTCCAAAATTTACATATTAAATTTTTTTAAAAAAACAGCCTTATCTATGATGTCTACTGGATCCGGACAAAATCAATTGTGAAATCATTTTCTACGTACGAAAGCTGGCGATTCAGCTTTATGCAATGTATGCAAAAAAATATATAAAATGCTCTGGCGGCAGCACAAGTGGTTTGCACAATCACCTTATCAGAAAAAATAAAATTAATCTGCTAAAAAGAGTTCAACATGATGTTGCAGAAGCTAGCTGTTCTTATATCAATACCACAACTTCGGTTACGATTGATACAAATTCTAGATCAAAAATTTCTGATTATTTCAACATTATTAAAATGATTGATGACTCATTTCCAGCTGTTTTAGCACGACTGACAGCTCGAGACTGTTTATCATTTAAAAAGATTTGCGCATCATACAATCTTCAGCAATTATTTAAATCCAAAGGATATGATTGCCCAAAGTCTCCAAAAACAATTAAGAAAATGGTGTTGCAGTACAGTGACAAAATCCGAAAACAAATTGTTACAGAATTATCAGATAGAATAGCCCGTGGTGAATTATTCAGCTTGACTTTCGATGAATGGACATCTCTCAAAAATCGAAGATTTATGAATGTGAATGTCCACTCGTATGATAATGTATTTTGGAATCTCGGATTGGTTAAGATTAAAGGATCGATGCCTGCTAAAAAATGTATAACGTATCTTCAAAATACACATAAAGAATTTAGTATTTCGATAGAAAATATAATTTCTATTACTACGGATGGGGCCGCTGTAATGAAAATAGTAGGCAGATTACTGGACGTAAATCATCAACTTTGTTTAGCCCACGGCATCCAGTTATCAGTTAAGGTGCTGTATAAAAGATCTGTTTCAAATAATATTTCCGTAGAAAATCAAGAAGTGGCTATTACTGAATTTGAACAAGGTAAAGATGAAGAGGACGATGTAATGAAAGATATTGGGGTTTTTGATGTTATTGAGGATACATCAACTACTGATTCATCAGTTCATCATGAGAGTATAAGTCCAATAATAATAAAAATTCGAAAAATTGTTTTCATGTTCTGTAGATCACTAACAAAAAATGACATCCTCCAAAAACATGTTAAGGATGAATTTTAAAAAGAACTTACGCTAATCCTTGACACAAAAACACAGTGGAGCAGTATGTTGATAATGGAAAGAATTTATGAGATTAAAATTGTGTTCGTAAGAGTTTAATCGATATCAAATCCGATATAGATTTATCAGAAAATGATCTCAATGTTGTATCAAATATAATAATGGCTTTGCAACCTGTTAAAGTAGCTGTGAAAGCTCTCTGTTCAAGGGACACGAATCAATATGTTGCAGATTTGACAATTAGGTTCATGTTAGATGAACTAAGTAACCAAAATAATTTCTTAAGTAATGAATTGAATTAAGATTTAATATTTCGAATAAGTGAGAGAAGAACCGCATATTCTGATATATATTCATATCTTCATGAACCATGTCCACGTACAGCTTTAAATAATGAAAATAATTATGGCGTGTCTAATACAACAAGTAAATTGGTTATGGAAAAAAATATTGTAGAAATCATTCAACAATTTTTGAAAAATGATTCCGAAACTACTGAAGCTGAAGTTGTGCAAGTGTATAAAACTGAATCAACTAGTGAATCTACGGTTTTATCAGCAGTGGCAACATCAAGTCAAGCAATGTCAATGAAGGAAAAACTTGATTTAGTAATTAAAAAAAAATGATAACTATTGCTCACGAAGAGATTAGTGATCCGAAGACAACATCCGGTCTTTTAAATATAGTCAGGAAAGAAATGGCGTAATTCAACGAACAAAATATTAAAGGAAAATATTTAAACAAACTCCAAAAGTATATTTCAGCAGTT